ATATGTCTTGAGGATGTGTCCATATTATAAGACAGGCTTACAATTTAGAAAAAGCTATTTCTTTCTGCAGCATGAGACATCTAGCTGCTTTATTAATTTAATTCATTAGGCCAGACATAAATAAAAGATGTGGGTATCAGCCCCCTATATGCAGCTTTAATTTGTTTGCTGCATGCCTGGTGGAGGTCATTGTCACTTATTACCTTTGCACTTGGTGTGACAAATGCTCTCCCGCACAATGAACACTGTTCCTACAGACAGCAGGGAACTGCAGTGAGTCCAGGCCAAGTCAGGAAGCCCCTAGATCTTAATTATAAAACCATAAAAGAAACCAACTGCCTCTGAAGCTCTCTAACCGGGAAACAAATGAGAATGGGAAATTTATTTCCAACCATAAATCCCAAACCCTTCAGTTTAATTTTTCCCAAGTTAACTTTCTCACCTAGCTAAGCAGCGCTGCCTTCTATTATTAGCTCCTGGCCCAATATCAGCTGACCACCATCACTCAAACTGTCTTCATCTCAATGAGCTCAGGGACTCCCAAGGAACTCTGTGTATGCTGACTTGTGCTTGCAGCCTCTAATTATTTTCTAACAGATAATGGAGCATTTTAGTTCAGAGAGGGTAGATTAAACTTGTAAGTGGATCAAAACCGTGGGCAGAATCAGAGAGCACAGGATTATTTCCTGGAAACATCAAGTTTAGAGGGCTAGAGAGGAAAGACCCTCATCAGCTGTCTGTTTCCCCATTACGAGTTAGTTTAAGTATATTTTTTAGCCTCAAAGGCTGTTTGCTATGCTCTCCAAGAGCAGCATGACTTTAGAATCTATTACATTATCAGTTGAGCATCTGGTTTGATGTTAAACCATCTGATCAGGCCAATGACTACTTGACTTATCAGACAATCATAGCAGCCAAATAAATTGAGGCCGAAGAGGGGAAATTGTTTTCACAAGTGAAATTATAAGTCCCTGTTCTACTATCAAGTAGCCTCTTAGCTATTTGCCTTTTTTTCCTCACTACAAGCCTCTCTTCCCTCCCTAAAACTCAGGGCCCTTATATACTCTGTTACCAGCCCGAGGGTGAGGAACATGATACAGTTCCCTTCTGATAACCCCTGCATCAGCTTGTGACTCCCTCCCAGACATGCTTGCAGGCAGACGAGTAGCAAGAGCACCTGCACTCTCAACTCAAATTCCAGCCCCCTCTTAGGGGTGAGGAATTGTGACGAGCCAAGCAGGGAGGAGAAACTATGCCCCACAACTTAAGCACATAACCATTTCAACACCTGAGGGGAAATTCTTTAGACTCTGAAATGATTCCAGAGATAATGTGTACTCAGAAAACTGTGGAACAAAGGTAAAGCTACATTTTACAAATCAGTAACAACAACCTCTGTGTGGTGAAAACAGATCCATAGAAGGCCACACAGACATTCTGGTTCTGCTCTGGAGAAGGTGGTCTGGGTTAATGGCAGACTCCAGCTTGCATTGTTGTAACAGACATGGACTACTGCAGTGATAAAAACTATGTAAGAACACAGGGAGCACAGTAAAAGAGAAAAGCTAGCTGGGAATATGTGGAAAAGCATGGAAAATAGACTCTGCTGCGACTCCCCAAAGATGAATGCCAAATAAGGGATGTACTTTTTGGTGATGGGCAATTCATCATCCCCTGATGGGAGGGGGGTGGGAGGTGTTTGGCCATAGCAGGTGCTAGCATCATGCATTATATCATTATAGTCATTACCAATCCATTAGCAGGTATTCAGGGTGCTGAAATGACAGCCCAGTAGCCAAATTGTTGTTCTTTACTCTTTCAGCATAACATTTAGCAGAATTTTGGGAGCTTGCAGAGCACTTTTAGACTTACATTCTGCCAAGATTAGAAGTTTTAACCAGCGCTGTCAATGGTACCACTAATATCTATACCAGCTATTTCTTCAGACACTGAGCTGTCCCAAGTACTCTCTCTGTACACAAACTGCTGTTTAACAAAGGCTTTACATTTTCTAGAGCTTCTCTAAAAGAAAAGCTAACTTTTACTTGCAAGTACAAGGACATTCACAATCCAGGAAGAAGTAATTGCTGACAAAAGCACACCTGTACTTGACAAGGACTGAAAAATGAAAGCCAGGGGTGGGACTCATATAATGACACCTCCTTGACACAAACCTCCTTTTCCCATTCACAACCAACATGTCAGGCCCTTATTTAAGAATGAGTTAACCCCACTGTGTTCATAATGGCATTTAGCCACCTATCTACCTTTAAAAAAATCATAATGCTCTTTTTACTAAAGTCACAACTGATGCATTTTGCTTTCATATGTACACATACATTTTCCTCACAAAATAAGATCAGTAACCAGTATCCAGATTTATCAGGATAGCTATACTGACCAAAGTCTTGGAGTGAGAATGAGTAAAACACATTTCTCTACTCTAACTTACTCTTCAATGAAAGATATTTGAGTTATCTCCTCATAAGATAAACTTTGGCTCAAATTTTTTGAATATTTAAAACAATGTCTCTTCTGGGACAGGGAGGAGTGACCACATATAAACCATAAACAATGTCTGGGACATTCTCCTTTAAAGTGTGGCTTGTTTCAGGAACTAAATTACTATGGTTAGAAGGTGAGGATGGCAGGGACATCTGTACAATTGCATGAACAATTATTTCAAAAGAATGAAATTAAATCATCTCCTTCATCAATGCAACACGGCAAAGAATTACAGACCACTATGCATATATCAAAAGCACCATTGATACAGAACATCTAATTTCTTCTTATTGTCATTTATATCAACTAATAATGAAGTCCAATTTGGTTTTGGACTAAAACCAACTTTAACTTTTCTTTCACCTGGTTACGACTGGGTCAGAGACTCATGAGAAACTGTTAATTTAAAGACAAACCTTTCTTAGTGTAACTGTACCTTACAGTGGAAAATCTCTAGAGTTTCCAAAAACACTTCATCATTTCTGAGGCATTCATCAGATGTTGCAATGCATACATTGGACGGAAATGTGGTCCAGTGACCTAAATCATCTGGTCGAGCTGAGCTATGAAACCTCAGAGTAGCAACTTTGCCTTTTAACAAGGACATTACATTTTCTTTAACTTCAAGGTTAATCAACATCAGAGGAGGTGATATTAATATTATTTCTCAATGAAATCAGGGGTCAGATCCTCAGCTGGTTCAAGTTGCTCAGTTCCACTGACTTTCACAGTGATAACAATTTCTTTGCTATCACTGACCACTGATATCAGACATGGTGCACTGGTCACATGAGTGGCCTCATGCACCCTGCATGTTCCCTTCAAAAACATGCTGTATACCAGTTCTTCTCCTTCTGCAGCTCTACCATTAACAACACTTTTGACCATTACTTTGTCCATTTAGCAAAAAATTCTAATACTCATTAATCCATCTAGTTCAATTCATTCCTTTTAAACAGGGCCAAACCAGCCGTTTTTTATTAATTTGTGCATAATGATTACTGAATTCAATCAACATTAATGCACAGTACTCTGTAAAAAGCACAGGAAATCCCTTCCTCTGCACAGCCTTTCTTCTACTACCTAAGAACTCACAGATGAAGCTAAATCTCTAACTGCACATTTCTGTCCATTTCTAGATGGAAGAATAGACAATACAATGGGAGCACATTCTCCTTGTGGCTTACAGTCTCATTAATGCTAACCAAATTAAGCCTATACAGTGAATAGATCTGCAAGCCTTAGAAGTCCTGTGTAATTTTCAAGTTCACAAGAGGGATTTACAAAAAAGTGCAAATTTCTAAGACTTGTCAAAAAATTGCCACTGAATAGGATACAGACATTCATGGTGTCAAGGAGGCTTGATCTTGACACAGAGCTAAAAACTGAGTGCATAGTCTCTGTGATCATAGAACATTCATGGAAATTATGATCTTGACCTGGTATTAATGGCATTTCCCATTAGTTAAGTGAAAGGGCTTTTAAATCCAGTATGTTTTAATTTTTTCTCCCCCTCCCTCTTATGCTTTGCTGCTGCTGACAGCTCCCAGACTCTCGGTGCTTAGTGCTCAGAAAACTGAAGCAGAAGAGACCTGAGCTTAATTTCTGTTCCTGTGAGTTCTGTGCCAGTAGAGACTTGCATGTATGGTAAGATGCTCCCCTGCAACTTCTCTCTCATCTCTAGCTTTTCTGCCATGGAAAGACACAATATTTGGCACATGAGACAGAGGAGCTTCAATCTTACACTGATGGGAAAGCCATTATAAGACTTCAAATATCTTAGGGCCCATGTCATCTGCAGTGAACACCTCAGCCCTTCATTACCCTGGGAGCACAAGTACTTACAGTTCTAGAGCAGAATGATCTACATGCAACAAACTAAACAGGGCAGAGCATTGCCTTATACAGATCTGCCTCTTTCTCCAGCTCCAGAGAAGCAGCACAGACCTACCCACAGCTAAGGTGTAATGTTGATGGCTTGGTTTTGGTTGGTTGCTTTTTGCTGTCTGTTTGAACATTGGTACAATAGGGAATGCTATGGTTGTGCACTAATACTGAAACAGCTTGCCAGACTAACGGAAAGAGGGGCAGAGCATTGCCTTATACAGATCTGCCTCTTTCTCCAGCTCCAGAGAAGCAGCACAGACCTACCCACAGCTAAGGTGTAATGTTGATGGCTTGGTTTTGGTTGGTTGCTTTTTGCTGTCTGTTTGAACATTGGTACAATAGGGAATGCTATGGTTGTGCACTAATACTGAAACAGCTTGCCAGACTAACGGAAAGAGAAGAGTAAGCTGAATTTTTCTGTGGACGATATATTGCAGAACTTGCTGAACATCAGCACAATATTGGTGCTGTGTACAAATCTCCTTCTGCTATTTAAACATTAGAAAAGAAAACTGGCAGGATTTCCTCTTTGAAATCTCTGTAGACTACAGAAAGACACCACCTCCATCCCTGTCAAAACTCAAGGACACTGATCATGTCTTACTTACATCCATAAACTCCACATTGGCTTTTGGACCAGTGGTCTCATTAAGGATCTTAATGGCCACAGGAATCTTGACAGTTTCCCCCTCAGGGACCCAAATACCCTAAAAAAAAGAAGAAAAGGTGACAGAAAACTAATAAGACAACAATCATAAAAACTTCATTCAGAGTTACAGTTCTTTTTGATGCATTCTGCCACATTATGCTGATCAGTTCTGAACCTCAGAACTGAGAATATACAAAGATAACAAAAAAAATAAAAATCCCATAAAAGTACCTCTTACACCAAATGCAAACTCTTATGGAAAATGAAACATTTTGTATCAGTGAACATCCTCATCAGGCCACCTTGATTTTTCTGTCCACAATAGGATTTCTGAACAGGAATTGGAATATGTCAGTGATGCACTTTTTCCACTGACTATTGATTTGGATAAAGTTAAATAAGAACCTGGATTTTCTGTTTGGATTCTGATGCTCAAGTCTGAAGCTGTCAAGAAACTCTCAAAACTGATCATCACCAGGTCATACATGACGCAGGAAAAGGACACCCTGAGAACAATATAGTTATTGTGAAACACTTAGGGTTTGTCATTTAGGCTGTTTGTCTACCTAATTGACAGCTGAGAATTAAAAGCTTAGATGTCTAAAAAGGAAATTTTAAAATTTCCTGTCTGTGTCTTGGGCTACTTTTCCATCCTTTTTGACTATTGTCGTTTCTTGTCAACCACATGGTACCCATCTCTATCACTTTATTATAAGTCTAATTACATTCAAACTGATAATTCACAAATCTAGTCTGAAGACTTTGTAGCTATAGTGGCCTGGTCTGTGCTTCTTCCCTTTCCTGCCCATTTTGGAGAGGAGATGCAGCGTCTGTTCTCCTTCAGTGCTCTGACCTGCCACAAGGTTCTGGTTGGGTAATTGGTTTGACTTGCCCACTAAGATCTACTTCATGCTTCTGAGATTTAGACACCACCAACAGACTTAAAAACTAAATCTATCTTTAATGGAAGTGCTTTTTCCCATGCGAGTTCTGCTCTCACATCCTGGTTGTTAAAGGGTGCATTGACATAAGTCATCCTTTCGGTTTAAATGGAAGAAACAAGAAGTATTATAGTTTTAGGTAATGACATCATTTTACAAGGTATTATTACTGTTACAAGATCCATGTGACACTTGTGCCATGAAAGACAAAGTTGATCTTGCTTTCCAAAATTGTACTGCAAAGCCATTAGCTAAGAACAGAATGACAAACTTTGACACTGTGCTTTGATAGCAAGACAGCCCAAGCTTGCCTGCATAGTCCTCTTGCACACAAGAGTGATTGTGGTTGACATGGTTTGCTCACCAAGAAGTCAACATGTGAGCCTGAAGACATACTCCTCTCACACAATGCCACTATCCTGAGTTTCTCAGGTGTGTAGGGCTCATGAACCCATCCATGGGACACAGTGCTTTGCTGTAATGTCGAACTTGTCTGCTCCTAAGTTAAATGAGAGAACTCACTGCTATGTAGTGAAGACTCTTACCTTGTATACGGTTCCAAAGGCTCCAGAGCCGAGAACCTTGACTCGCTTCAGCTCAGTTTCCTTCAGGATACGAAGCTGTGCTTGGTTGGGTGCTGTGCCACTTGGAGTCAAGGGTTCCACAAGCTATGAAGGAAAATCCAACAGTCTTCAGTATTTGTAAATGTGAATACACATCAGAAGTTTGTTCTAGAACAACCAATCCAGCTACATACACACATGGAACAAGACAGTGGTGGCAGTCTCTTGACCACTGACCTGCCAACTTGTGGAGGGATTTCTCACCTTCAAAATCAAATGAGCAATGCTACAAAACCAAGAGACCTGACAGAGCAAGTTCTCACTCAACATGTAATAATTCCCACCAGAAACTGCATGATGGAATTATGAACTGGAAATTGAATTGCTGCCACAATAACACACCCAAGGACTTTTGCTAATGGAGGCGGTATAAATATTTTCTACATGACAGAAATATAGCATTTATTATCAGTGCACCACATCCCATTTTTGTCCATTTTAGTGTCTTTTAAGTTGTCCATATTTCTTTTTAATAGCCCTGATTTAATGGCTCATGACATTCTTATTCTGTTTTGGGAAAGGGACAGTTTTTCTGAACTTCTGTTTCATCACACAGAAGGACAGGTTTAAGGAGAAAACATCTTATAGCAGACAACTAATTCATAACAGCCACTAATTTGCTGCAATTAAACAATTTGCTCAAGATGTCCCAAGAAACTTCATAAATGAGCCACAATGGCACATTCAGTTAAAAATGCTCTCAGATCATAACGTTCTACCATCACTGCCAGAAAAACAATGCTTCGTTAAAAATAAATCAAAAAATACGAAGGACAATACTCTAAAAAATTTAAAACAGTCTGTTCCTTTACAGGATGAGGAAAATAATTCAGGGCTACTCCTACTCAAATTAGTTTGAAACCACTGCAGCATTTCAAAGCTGTCTGTTTACAAGGCTAAATGCACCATGCTCTGCAGTTTGCCAACTACTTCTATGGGTCTTTGAGCATCATGAACTACTTAATTAGTTGACCAGACTAATTGGTTTTGTTCAGGTAAAACTACCAGAATCTGGAAATTAATGGGGTAAGAAAACACAACAAAACCAAACAGCAACAAGTCAGGTTAGTCCAGAAATAATCTGCAAGCTGCACTTTATTCTAGTGATTTTTCTTTTCTCCTTCCCACTTTAGGTGCCCCGAACTTATACCATGAAAGAAAGGTTTACTGTGAAAGAAAATGAGGCAGACTGGGAGAATATTTCCATATTTTCAGTTTGTGGTGGATGAAAAGAGCTTCTGTGGCACAGTCTACCAACACATAAGGCAGGGAGAAGTGGAGATGTGTTGTGGGGGTCTAAAATAAGGCTTGTAGAATGATATCTGGAAATAATGAGTCCTGTTACAGCCTCCAGCTAGAAACAGACTTCAGCTGAAGCTACATTGCTTGTGTGTTTGTCTCAGGATGCTCCTGATTTAATCTTCAGTTTCAAAGCCAAGACAACAGCTTCCCCATGTTCAGTAGGAGGCCTTGGTCCCTCAGGACTATTGTCAGCCACAGCTTTCTTCTGACCAAATGCAGAAGTCCAGAGAGCTGGACTTCAAAGCCAATGCTTCCCAAAACCAATGAGAACTACCTGCTTAAAATAATTTATGCTTAAGTAGGGGCTGATACAATGGTAAGATTTATGTGCCTAAAGGCACTGAGTATTGTTAAGCTTTCTACACAGCTGAACAGTATTTAAAAAGTAGCACAAATTCTGGCCAAGCATAAAGATACTTGTGCAAACAGATTGGGGATGCATAAATTGTTTATTCCCAGGCTCTACAGTGGAGATGAGTGGGAGCAGGACTCTTGGAACAGAATGGGAAACAGCTTTGTTAATAAAACCTGATCAAAGATTCACTAGTTAACAGTATTCCCAAGCTTTATTGTCTTACAAAAGGGAACCCTAATTGAAAAATACCATCATTTGCAAAGTGTCTCAAGTACAGGATTGAGGAGATGGCAGTAATCACCTTTGCTGTAGCTGACAGTAACAACTTAATGCTGTGTTTAAATATACTTCCTAGATTGCCCCCTCCACAACTGACACTTCAAGTAACAGGATGGAGTGGGCACAGCACTCTGTTATAGCTCCACTACATATTTTTGCTAGTAGAACTGTGAACTTCAATTGGTTAAGCTCTGGAAAGTATCTTGGCTTAATGAAATACATTATTATTACTGATCATGGACCACAAAGGCCTTATAGGCACAGGGAATAGCAGTAAGTGACAATCTCTGCATCTAAGCATTCCTGATGAGCTAAAGTTTGTACCAGAGCTTGCTGAAGGAACTTGCTTCAGTCTTAAAGGTTGACCTCAGTATACAATGAATGAAAAGCTGCAATCTTTAAGCATGAGAGCTGCTAAATATACTAATGAACTAGGACAGAAGCCTAGTTGAGAGCAGGATGGGCATTCAGAAATCTGATGGAACATGCCTTTGCAATCATGTGGAACTTCGTTTGGTCTTCAGTAGCCACAAATCTGTGTATGTACGAAAAAACAGTGTCTTGAAATAGCTTCATTCTTCCCATCAGTTTCGACTGCACAAGCTAGCAAAAGGATTTCTGCAGTTCTCTCTGGTAACTGAAGATCTGAACATCTTTAATAATAAAGCAGAACAGCCCTGCATATCTTTCCAAACAATATGTGAGAAGCAGCACGCTCTCACCTCAGTCTCCAGGAACCTCCGCAGTGCTCTCTTCTTCTTGATGCTTTTGCGCCGAACATAGACCGCGAACGTCAGGCCCACAATGACGATGATGAAGAGGCCACCAATAACTCCCGCAGCAATCAGAGGGGTTCTAGCAATCAGAATCAGAGACTTAATTTTTAGGCAGGGTGAGAGGCCAAAGAATCGTTGGGTACATAAACCACAATCACTTGGAAAGCTTATTAACTGCCTTATGACCAGAATTCCAATCCAAATGGGAAGACAGGGTGAACACATTAACTTGGTATAACTTTGCTTGTTTTTAATCAATATACCAATTCTACTTGTTTTTCAAACCACCATGCACATGTGAGGAGTCGTGTGGACAAGGAAACACAACATGCACTCTGATGGCAAATGCAAATCTGCAATGGCAAAATGAGGATACATGTATTTTCCTGCAAGAGCTTTAACTGTGCTGACTCTTTGGCTCCACCTACATTAACTCATGGGCTTGTGCATTTAGGGGAAAACAAACTAATGAGAAATTCCCAAACTATCAATATAATGTGCCTCCCTGAGCATGGAGAAAGTGAGAGAGGGGACTGCATAGACAAATCTGGAGGCAGTGTGCTTGTATCTCTTCCTCAAACAGAGGATATTTATATTGAGCATCACAAACCATATTAAAGCCACACACCCCCTTGGAACTCCTGGTTCATTACTACTACACACAAACATTTTGGTCAGGGGTTATGGTTGCACCCATCCAGTTTTGCTCTGGCTTTTCAGCACAACCAAATCCCAGACCATAACTTTTGTGCACTGCAGCCAAAAAACTCCTATGAACAATGCCAAACAAGGCTCAGCTTCTGCACAAGACTGTTGTCCCCCCTCTAATTCTAAAAGGATTTCAGCTTTCCAGGCTCTTGAGCAGCATAAGCTGCAGTTACTTATTTGTTTTTCCACAGTGATAAGATACAGAAGTCTGGCATCACAGCAGATATGGCACAAACCAAAAAGACTGTCTCAGAGAGTCACTCTGACTTAGGTGCCCACATTTGGAGATTGCTACACAGGCAGTGGAGAAATCAGGCTCCCTTGAAGGAAAAAAACCCAAATACCTTAAATCAGGCATTTTCATAGCATACTGACAACTTACCAACATAAACACATAGAAAGCATTTAACATCCCTCCAAGAACGGCTGGACAGTTGCTGAAAAGATGGGTAAAAAGAGACAGCATGACAACTGCAGAGTACAGATGGTGCTGAAACCACTGCCTGGTAAGTACAGGAAATAGGTTAACTGTTGTCAAGATTGTGGAAACATCACTGCTATGCTTCAAGAGCCTCCCTCGATTATATCTGAGTGATGATGAAAGGTACATTATGGCCTATTAATAAAAACATACCACACAGCTACTGAAAATTTAAAGGAGTCTCCCACAAAAATAGTAAATTGATTTATCTGGCCATTTCTTCTTCTTTTTACAGCCTTCCACAAAGCCAAGCAGTGGGAAGCAGTGCCATCTAACCTGGTCTGATATGTGGTCTGCATTACCATTGACAAAGCCTCATACTCCCACACCTAGCTACTCAAGCACCCTATTTAAAGCACCACTATCACATTTTCCCAGGGAAAACACATTAACAGTACACAACACTAAGGCCTATTATAGTTCACAGACTTCAAGATAGAAACTAAAGCCTGCAAATAAAGGAAGCTGAATGTTGTCTGGCTGGGAAATGGACTGTGATGCCTGGGAAACACTTGTCCAGTACCACCCACTCCTCAGGCAGAGACATTCCTCATTCAGCTAGTCTGGCCTTAAGACACATTACCCTTTCTAACACCACTGGTTACTCTGTGATTTGGAGTGCAGAGCTCAGATTATAGGACTTGGCATGGCATATCCACCCAAACCAAAGTTCCTCATTGTTTGCACATGCTTTCCATGATGCTGATACAAGAAACTCTTTAACAGGCATCAAAATTCTGGACATCAAAATACTTCTGTGGAGCTTGTACTGACTAATGCTCTTGAGCAGAGGAATATTTTTCATTCATTTTTATGCTGCCCGAACAATAATATAATTTTTAACAAACACCACCAAACCACAGACCGACAAAACAGGCAGGAGAACTCTCAGCTTTAAAGTGCATATTAATGACTAACATAACAGCTGTCAAAGTAAATAATTAGAGTTTTATAGTACTGTGTACACTAAAATGGTCCAAATAATATTTACACAATAGACGACAATAAGGTTCCAAAGGAGACATAACAACGAGTGAAGAAAATAAAATGAAGTTACTCATTCCTTGCAGACCTTTTATTGCTATAGACTACAAGTGAGGTTCAAAATGGATCTTTATGATCCATCATTTCAGCTCTCACTGACTTGAAAAGAAGGTGCTCATGTTTTTTAGCAGTGAATTGATAAAAAGCAAATAATTTTCAAAAATTTCACCAAACAAGCACCTTAGGCATTACTGTGAAATATGCTGTAATTGCATATTATACCTGATTTTTCAGGAGGTACCATCTAAACACACTATTAAGCAAGCTTAAAAAGGAGGCATGAAAGGAGTAGTACAGCAAAAACATATTAAAATGCTTAACAAATAAATGAAATACATAAAAAGATCTATTTTCCACTCAAATAGTGATCAGTTGCCTTAACTCCCAAGTCCACTACCCTTGCATAAAAATCCTGTCAGACCCAAACATCAGAGGCCTGAATGGCTGTGATCACCTACCATGCAGCTTCTCCCTCTGCTGCTGAGCTAAGCCCCACAGTCAACAACCCTGTGGTTTATTTGCTCCATAACCAAATGACAGTCCCTGCAGTCACTGCTTTCTGGTATCACCAGTGCACCTCACTGCTGTTTCCAACCACATGTAGGTTATTTACTCAGCGCAGTTTTCTGGGTGTCACTTAATAAATAACCCCCTATTTTGGGTTATTTTTACTTCCGTTTATTAGGCTGAGTTTGCTTTTTCTCTCTTCTGCTAATGCTCTCAGTTCTCCTGCATCATTTCTCTACTATTTTCATGCTTGCAGTGCCTAACATTTAATACTTTGATGAATTTCATTAACCAGCTGTTTACCTTTCTGTTAGGTAAGGCTGTTCAACATGGTCCCCTGCAAGGTGGCCCTCATCAGACATGTTGCTGTAGACACAAAACCTTTCTCTCATTTTGGTTTTTTTAATCCAATCCTTTTTTTGCATATGCACCTAACCAACAGTTCAGCTTCACAGACAGCTGGACACACAAATCTCCTTATCTCTAGTGGCATTAAGGGCTTAATCCACTTAGATTTTTGTTACATTACTGTCCCACAAACACCTCTTTGACTACAATTCCCTACATTTCCCCACCTCAGACTACTGCCCATGTAAAACTAATTCCATGGAAGTTAACAGGAACTATGTTGATGCTCAGACAAAAAATTCACTACCAAAACATCCAGTTTTTAAAGTAATTTTTAAAAGCATGGAGGCCCCATTTCTCTGTTAGGCCTGAGTAAAGCTAAAGTCAAGCAAGGAGAGGCAGTTCCATGTCAGCCCTGCCCATCCAGCAAAAGTAATGGACAACCAAAAGTCAATCCTAGCTCATGTTTCTTACAGCTCCACCACTAACAGGAACCTCCTGATACAGCCACTGCTTTCCTTTACATACTGGAAATCTACTTCAGAGGATGGAAAAAAAATCTCTGCTAGGTGTTTCTGGATTTTTCTGCTCATCAAAACAGACTTAGCAGTCCAAGAAATATGGCCCTGAATCATAATTCAATCCCATATAATTAATTTGCTATCCCACATCCCTCCCTTAGCTGAGGACAGAATACCCAATTAATGCCTGGAAAAGGCAGCAGCAGGGGAGGCAGTGGGAGGGAAAAAATAAATCCCACCATGTGAAAAATCCTGCCTCTTAAACTAGAAACTGTGTCTCTGTGGCTGAAAGTTCAAAGTCAGATTCTAGTAATCCCTTAGGAGAAATGAATAATATATATTTCTTTTAAAATGTGTACTATGTTTTCATATTTAGAAACATGAACACCCACTCTCACACACTGAAACAGACAAAAAGTTCAAAGTTAGTATTCCAAGATGGATAAGGATGCTCAACAGCAGGGCTCATATCCTTCCATCCACTCCAAGACATCAGAACATCTGCAACTCCCAGGTGCCTTGAGACCAGGTATTACAGCCCAATTACTGATTTAGATGAGTACGTGGTCTCACACTCTTGCCTGGAGAGTGCAGTAGAAGAGGAAAATGAAATAGAGTTGTGGCCCATGGAGTAAAGCTGACAAAGAACACCTCTTTGTCTATCTCTGGCATTAACCCAGTGTGCTGGTTTGAGCTGGACTAGAGTTAACTTTCTTCATAGAGGCTAGTATGAGGCTATGTTTGGGTTTTGTGCAGAACACAGAGTTGATAATGCAGAGATGTTTTTGTTATTGCTGAGCAGAGCTTACACAAAGTCAAGGCCTTTGCTGCTTTCCGTGCTGCCACACTGGCAAGGAAGTTGGGGGTGCATGGGAGATTGGGAGGAGACACAGCTGGGACAGGTGACCCAAACTGACCAAAGGGATATTCCATACCATATGACATCATGCTCAGTATATAAGGTGGGAGGAAGAAGGAGGAAGGGGGGACATCTGGAGTGATGGCGTCTGTCTTCCCAAGGAACCGTTACGCGTGATGGGCCCTGCTCTCCTGGAGATGGCTAAACACCTCCTGTCTGTGGGAAGCAGTGAATTAATTCCTTGTTTTGCTTTGCTTGTGTGTGCAGCTTTTGCTTTGTCTATTAAACTGTCTTTATCTCAACCCATGAGTTTTTGTAGCTTTTATCCTTCTAATTGGCTCCCCCATCCCGTTGGTGGGGGAGTGAGTGAGAGGCTGCGTGGTTCTTGGCTGCTGCTGGGGTTAAACCATGACACCCAGCTCTTCTGATAGTTAAAGAAACTGAGCTTTGAAGCCAAGCTGTTAGAGGGCTTCAAGTTCCCGTCTCAACCTTCCCCTCCTTCGAGTTTTTATCTCTATACATCCAAACACGATTCATTACAACCTTGAGCATTTGCTAAGTAGTTGTTTCTTGTAAATCTTTGTTATTGAGGCATTATTTTTTCCTGCTGG